ATGCTCAAGTTATATCATGGAATTGAACAAATCTAAAGCTTTCAAGTATATAAGTAAATTGAATTGAAATACAAAACAAATATTTATATATGCAATAATTATGATGTGAATTAAAGTGATTTATTAGCAAATTTTTTATCGGCTTATTTTTTTTGCGATATTAATAAGCGCTTTATTCATTCGAGTTTTGAAATGTATGAGTAATTTGCATCTGTTTCACTTTTTTTGCGTACAAAATTAGTAACATCGATGGATATGAAAAATAAGGTCACGTATTGAGATCCACTGAAGTCCAGTGGCTGTCCACAAGAATTTGCCCGGTCAAGAGGGACGGGAGCGGTTGGTTTATCAATCCACCCCTTCCTGGATGGCAGATCCTGACCGAACAAACGGACGTTAGAGCGGGGAGCTTGGCTTAGTGCGGTACTGGAAAGCACTTGATCTTAGAGGAGCGACCACCTCTATGGGCAGCTCAAACTACGCTAACCCAAGCTTCCCCTTCCTCTCTTACCCGGTGGTGGTTTTGCTCGTGCCGAGAGGGTTAAAGGCCGACACGCCAACGAGTTGGGTAAACGCCATTTAATAGAGGACGGTAATGTCATCCGTCCAATTTGTGAACAATTTGGTTCGATGTCTTTTTGTTTGGCTTGGCGCGCGACTCTTGCATAAAGCAAAATAATTAACGAAACGCTATTCCTCAGAACAAATTAGGTACATGTAGCGATGTATGTATAAAGATATTGATACTTCACTTCGCCTGAATCCAGTTTGATCTACTCGATTATGCAATTCTTTGCTAATGCAAAACTTAAATATAATTATTGTTACATAAAATTTTATATTGTTGCTCAAATTTTATACTGTTATTTGTTTATCAATCAACGTAACAAAAATCTGTCGTAAATTTCAATTTAAGTTTGAATTCAATATTACACACATACATCTTATCTCGATATTCTAGATATCGCGTAGCGAGTTCGTACAGATACTGCATTAATGATCAAGAATATTCCGTCAAGTTTTGAATATCGCCTCCGACGAGACGCTCGTCAAGTAAGGGACGGGACGTTTTCAATGCCTGATTATGGCGTCGGACATGGCCGCGTCAATTCATCTCTCGAAGAGAAAAGGCTCCCTCGCGATCCAGCTCCGTGTCAGATATCCTGCCAGGAATCGTTGCTCAGGTGAAGCGCGAAGTCGGAAGCCCTTTTCTATATTATTCGCGATGAATAACGACACCACTCAGTCATTCCCTCCAATTTAAGTGTAACGAGCCACACCGATACATTCCTTCTTATTCTTTTTCCGGGTCTCCGTTCTCCTCCCCCACTTACCCAACCCATTTCCTGCCCTCCCCCTCCCCCTTTCGCCCCCCGACGTGATGTAATCCTGCACAATCCAGACATTTTTCACCATTACTCGAGCGGTCGTAGCGATGGCGGGCAAATAATTAATTTCTCACGGAACTAACGAGCGCCGCTTTTCTTTTCAAGCCGACGGTGTATTCTATATCATAACCGATTCAAGAAGAAGAAGGGAACGGAAATACGTCGTGAAAAAGATGGTGCAAGGGTAATCGCGCAACAATATCAAAATTTCATCTTCGAATCCTTTAAATTTACGTAAGAATTAACCCACGATTATATCGACTTACCGAAATCTCTGATACGTAAAAACCACAATTTTGACAAACATTCTATATTTATACTCTTATTATGGATGATTCTGATATTTATTATTAACTGTTAACCCTCGATTTTCGATACGATAACCCGCGCGACGCGAAACACTTTAGTTTAGTGTAAATTTCCAAAGTCGTTCGCATAATCGGAGCTTCTTCCGGGACGAGGGGGCAATACCGTGTTCCTTACGAGGGTGCCAAAGCACCCCGAAGGGTAGTTTGGAGGTCGAAGCGGAGGTGGGGGTTGTTTCACGATAGTTTGGACGATCTATGACCCGAGTTCGCTAAGAGACCACGAAAGGGTGGATTTACTGGTCCGTCCCGCGTTCACACCACACAAATCCAAGTGACCGTCCGGACCCCTACCCTTAGTCTCGTGCGACTTACGTCTACCGAACTATTTCCTCGTCGTCGACCATGAATCGCCACGACGATCCGATGTTCGCCGGAAGCGAACGCTCACCACACCAATCTGCGAACTTGGATCTTGCCAAGATAGTTGTGAAAATGATACTTTGCTATTTAATGCGAAAAACAACATTATACCCAGCAAACACAGTATATAAATGTTATATACTCAAGCATGTTACATGTAACGTATATGTTAGTTGTAATTTCCCACTCATAGATGTAACATTTTTAATATTACATATATTACATTGTAGTTATATTGTCATTATATCCCAAGATAGAACTGACTTATCAATACATCAATGTGCTATTTGGTATATAATTACAATATAACTACAATGTAATATATGTTATATTAAAATGTTACATCTACGAGTGGGAAATTACAACTAACATGGATGTTACATGTAACGTACACGTTATATTACCTGTTATATTCCGTTTTATTATAGCAATGTAACAATTATATATCGGTGTTTGCTGGGTACGATATAAATATAGCAAACCGATATAAATCTTTTGTGATAGTAAGAAAAAATTCTGGTATACACCGTTGTATAATATTAATTAGATAAATTATTATAGTCAAATGTAAAAATTGATAAATTCTACGAAATTATAGCAATCGATGAATCGCGCGAATGTGGCATTTTTTTATTTGCAAATAAAGTAAGCAATCTCAGGAATGTCCGACTCTGACAAAATAACTCGGATAAACGCAATAATAGCTGAATAGCTGATCGCGAAGTTGACGGCACATCGTTAACGTTGATTTAATCCCGAGCAAAGTGGAAGTTGGGGCCGCGAAGAGGGACAGCTGCATAAGTAGTTTGTTTGTTATTGTAGATCGTTAATCCGATGTTTAAGCAGCCAGAAAATATTCCGCCCGTGACGATGAGAGCTCGAATGTCTTTTATTGAAAAGGGCGACGGTGCCGGTCGCTTAGCATATCGTAAAAGAGTAACTGCGTGCCACGAAAAAGCGAATGGAAGTCGACGGGGGAAGGAAGAGATACGTCGTGTATCGCGCCATAAAGATTACTACCAGCTCGGGACTTTATTGTCACGCGTTATAAATGATGTCGCGGACGTACGCCAAATATTCAAATGACACTTTTATCCGCGATTTCTTTCGGGCGGAAGGATTTTGGCGGATCGCGCGTAAGAAGAGTTCGAATAGAGCCCAGGGGAACGATGGTGATGCTTCTTTATCGAAGAAGACATTAAGCTATATGTATGTTAAATTTCATCAATTTCTTGTGCACAAGATTGCACAGAAAATCAATGTACATATAAATTGCAAATATTATACTTTAAAAGTGTTGTATATTGTGCGTGGACAAGTCCCGGTTATCTCATCTTGTAATACTGATTTTAATCGTGATATCTAAATTTTTTACTCGTAGTCGTAATATTTATTATAGTATAATTTTTTTTTTTTCAGAAAGTCGTGTTTTCATCCCCATAGCTTGTTCTTCGCCTTTCGGAGCAATTCTTACTTTTGGTCGACGCGACCGAGGGGTGGAACAGTTGATACGGAAATTCTCGGCGATTTCTCAGGGTATTAAGTGAGCCCGCGACCTTTCATATTAATAACAATAATAGTACACGACGTCGAGCGAGAAAGAAAGAAAGGAAAAAAGAGGGGAGAGGGGAGAAAGGAGAGCAAGCTGTAATCTGGCTGCGAGCGAGGGATGAGGGCAACTTTTGAAGCCAGATACAAATTACACCTCATTTTTATGCCATTTTAATATCGCCACGCGTCATTAAATATCCCCTCGCTTCTCCAACCCGCGACTCCACTGTGCAACCATGGCGTATCCTATATACTTTCGTAATGGCATCTTACAGGGAATGAAATATTCGTACGCACCCATTAGCGTCTCGAAGGCGGAAGCCTGCGAAGCCACAGAAATCGCACGAAGGAAACGTAGCGGCAATGAAAAATCGAGACGATTTTAAAAGCCGTCGCTGATGACGCGCCCTGGGACGAAAAAAGGATCAGGGACTATAAGCAGGCATGCTTGTATTGTCGGTATCGGCTTAAGCGTGTCAGAATTAATAAGAAAATTTACGCAAGAACAGTTCAAGTTAGATTTCTGCTAAATCTCCCTCTACGAATATTTCACGCTAGTAATATATTCGAAAAGTATAAAAAATTAAAGTTAAAAAAATAATCTTCTTTAATGTCTTTTTTTTTTTTTATATGCATCACTATTTTACAAGCATTTATAAAGCTCGAGTTCAATTTTTTTCATCGTCGTTTGATTAAATGATAAAGTTGCAATTATCTGTAAATCACGGAAATAAAATTACACGATACCTATAAAGATTCGAAAGAAATTTAATATCGCTATTTTTAACGGATCGTCATCATAAAGATTCCACGTTGAACGTTATCACAGGAGTAACTTTACTGGCGGAAAGAGCCGTTTTTATGCTAGTATCGCGTATTCTAATTTTCCGAAGGAGGAGACGGACGATTTGCGATGATTCGGGAAACGCATCTATTCCCTCGAACCGATTTATATCGTTCGCCGTTCTTTTAGCACACCCTCGCTCGTTATAACATCGTATACGCATTGAACATGTTCATAACCACGCATTTATTGCGGTGGTTTTACTTGGCCTTTTATTCGGCGAACTGATACACTCCACCGTAGGCAACGATTTTATGTCGGCTTTTACGAGCCGGAGAAGCGCATTTCGAATCGAGACTACGGGAATTACGGGGTCTTCTATTTCAGGAAAGCGTAGTCCTTTCCACGTCATACGAACCAGACGGTATTAACTTTTATTTCGTAACGTTTGTCCTTCAAAGTTCCGCTCGTACGCGGTTAACAGACTTTTTCTTCGTCCGAATATAAAATTGAACGAATGTAAAAGTGCTACAAATTATTACGACTTACCACTCGGTGATCCTCCATTAAACGCCGAAAAATCTGAAACAGACAAAGTGCGTAAATTAGATAAAATGTTCCAAACGAAACACATGTTTCTCTTTCAAATATTATTTACATACATATAAATATTTTTAATAGGTCCATCCGCTAATTTTTGTTAGAAACGTTATTAAAAATCCGTGTAATGTATTTTTGGAAGAAAGCTACGAAGTAAAGAATTCTTCAGCCTGCTTATTCTGAGAGAGTAAAAGAGTTAACGAGGCGGAAAGAAAAACAGAGCGAAGAAGAATAAACGCGTCCTTCTTCTCAAAGAGTAGAAGGATACAGTTGCCTAATTTTATTCCGGCGAAGTGGACTCTTCACCGGCGGCCAAATCGGACCGAGGGGATGCATCTTCTAAAAGAGTGCTCGGGCGAGAGCTTCCGAAAGGAGAGGGTAAAAAAAAAACCGGAAGGCAAAATCCATCCCGTTCTCGCCTTCCCTATTTATTACATTATACTATATAGCGTTCTCTCGCGCGCTAGCTTTCCTTATACCTGAATTGAAAATCTCTCTGCACGTGCGAGATGTATGCGCACCGGCGGCTCTAAGCAAATCGTGTTATCCTATGCCCGGCCAGTCGGCCATCTCTACGCAGCCCGAGAGGAATTAAAATAAATACATATCTTAATTAAGCTCCGGTGTGCCATCCACTGGGTGACCGAAAATATTAGAAAGACGAAACGCTCGCATTAACGCGTATCGAAACTGTTTGGTCCGATATTAAATAATAAGAAGAAAAACATTGTCGATCGATATTACTATTTAATAGTAATTGCAGGTAGACAGAAGGAAATATTGGAGATATTGTAAGATAAAGTGGAAGGATATCGGGGTGAACTTGATATATAACAATATATTATACATCCGCGGAATGATATATATAAGTTGAATCTTTCTTATCTCGAAGAAGTGTCATCTCCGATCACCCGGTATATTCACATTATACATATGGAACCCTCGCACTCGTTGCTTTATTCCCCTTTATATGCACATTCGAATATCCGCAGGCTGCATCTCAAACTTGATTCTCTCGGTCGGAGCGTCAGCAGGCAGCGTTAAGAGTTTTCCCGGAGATTCACTTGGTCCCTCTGCGCATGTTTCCTATATTTTTCCTTCCTCGCCGCGTCCACTCGGAAAAATATATTCGACGAGAAAGATAAAGAGAAAGAAAAAAAGGACGGCAGCTCGCGATGTGCACGCGAAGCTTTTTAAGTGGGCGGCGTTGGATGGGTGGCACAAGAAATTCGGTGAAATTTCGCGCAAAACGGGAAAAGAGCCGCGGGCGTATTGGGTTACGCGAATTCTGAAATCCGAGACTTTATGAATGATAAAGCGTCGGAAAGGGGGAGGCCGTTGGGCCGCCTCATCGTCGAAAGGAAGGTCCGACAACGCGGTGAAAAAAGGACAAGGACAAGAGCGCGGGAAAAAGAGCGAAGCTTGCGCGAGCGAGCCGGTTACCGCCTGGCCGTATAATTAATTTTCGTCGAACGCGAAATCCGTTTAACATACTTTCCGAAACTCTCCAGCCGGTTTCGTGACGAGCCCGGAACAATTTTTTTCAAAGGGCGCGCCGCCTCGTCCTTTTACCCCGCGCCATATCCTTCCCTCTCTTCTTCTCCCTCCCACGCGCGATGAACTCCCGCATTTGTGAACGGTGCTTAAGGTCACCGGCCGCGCGAAATCACGCGACTAAGTTGCAACGGCAGCCCATTACGCTCGTTTTCGACATGTAAACACGCGACCGGTGCAACTTCGTTTGACGTGCAGAAATTAACGTGCAGCGATCCAAAACTGCGAAAGAGAAGACGAGACGCGGGGACGAGAAGGGATGGAGAAGGCGGGTTGAGAGAGGGCGCGAGAGAGTGGAGGGAGATGGACGCGGATGGACGTAACTAGACGTACTTATTATTATTTAGGGGTGCAACGCCGGTGTGGCCCTTCCGGGCTGTCAGTTTCGCAGAGGCGAAATTACATATTCCTCGCAACGACCGCGTCGAGACGTGCGAGCAGTACGAGACGAACGGGGACGGACTTTTTATTTCGCCATTGCCTTTGCTGGCCGCGCGCGGCGGTGTCAAAGCGGCCAGTTCTCCTCAAAGTATAATTATTTTAGTTACAATTAAAAATGTGCAGACCCGCCGGCGACGCGCTCTTGCTCTTGCTTCGCGCCGTGAAAGCGCTTCGGACTTGACCGCCTCTCTACGCCATCAATCTTTTTCCGTTCTTCGTATTGTCGACGCGCGCGAGCTTTTGCGTTAACGTCGAAAGAAAGTCGCCGAAAGACTAAGAGAAAACAAAACGATATTCTCAATTTCATTATGTATACAACACCTTTCACATTTATCGGTCAAGATGCAGCGCGAATGACATTACTTCTTACATTGTTAAAGATTTATTTCTATCTTCGTGTTTCACGTCAATTTTATCGCGATTCTTAGCAAAGCACAAATAAACGTCTATATGTGTACGCGATTAATTTGCGCTATGAAATTATTGTAGATTACAAATAGTAAACACGATCGCGTTGGAAAGATTTAAATGCGATCGCAACAAGGCTACCGGTACGCAATTACTTTTAACGAGGACTCCGCAGAAAAATATGGCCCGGTAGCAAGAACTTTCCCAATTTGAATCCGTCATTCGAGACCGGCAAAAAAAGCCGCAACTTTCGTCCTGTAACAAGTTGTTGTTCGAGGGAAGAGCAAATGAAAGGGCGCGGTACCCCTCGCTGAGGTTGCGGATGAGGAAAAGAAGGAGCGAGGATCGAAAGACGAAGGAAGAAGGAGAAGAGGATCGGGAAGTGAACCATAAATAAAGGAATTAGTTTTTAATGGACGTTAGTCACTATTAATTGTGGAAAGTTAACCCCTTCCTTTTCCAGCCCGTTTTCTTACCTTCTCCCTTTCTCGTCCTCTGTCCTTCCCTCTTGTGTTCCTCGGGGAGATCGCGCTTGTCCTTTGAGACTGACGAGGCCGTGGTGGCAAAGGAATGAACGAACAGCAAAGGTACAGGAGCTTGGAAGGGGCTGAAAAAGCACCGGGAAACAAGGCGCAGCCTTTATTTTACATTTCCACGGGCCATTCTTTCTTTGTGCGATAATTAAGTAAGCTGAAGCCAACCGCTGGCCGGCCGTCCATTCATGTTCGCCCCGAGCTAGGTTGCCGGCCAAGAAAGGGTTTAAAAATTATCTTCCGTCAGTTTACCCTCACTTGTGAATTATTTTGCGACCGGTGGTTCTTAAGATGGAGTCGATTAAAATGAGTATCTTGCTACGCTTAGATTGCAACTTTGATGTAAAATTCTTATCTCAATTTCCTTACATTTAATGTCTACGGTAAACTTTTTTTTATAGAAACCAGAAATATAATATAATTAAAATAAAAAGCGTTAATTATCTGTCTCTTTTTTTAAATCTACATAAAAGTCATCATGCTATCGATACACGATTCTTCGCGAGCTGCAACACGTCAGGCTAGTCCCAAAACTTGGCGTAAGGGAAAACCGTACACGTGCAGACGATCGCGCACACCTACGAGAGATATTACGTCTCGCAGACTGGAGCACGGCGGAGTTATATTAGACAGCGAGCGAAGAGCTCTGGTGGCAACTGCCGTCTTTCACTTCGCACTGAAACCCCGTGCGCCAAGAATCTTGCTAATTAGATATATAAGGAAGCTAATTGTAATAAGGTGGAGTCGGGTGTACACGAGAGAGCCCCGTCCACCCTCCCACCCTCTTTCACCCTTGTGCCACACGCACAACCTCGGTACATGCGTACTTTCCCTGACATTCGTACTCATCCGCGGCGCTTTGAAACCGAAACTGCCGTTGAAGAGATCCCGACGAATCGCGCTCAAAGTAAGCGCAATTAATTTGAATGGCGGCACGGTCCGTGAGCACTGCACGAAATTCGGTTCGCGACGGAAAAACTGGAAAACGAAGTAAAACGCTTTCAGAATATGATACTACGCGAAAGGCATATCAGTATCTTCGTATCATTATTTCAGGTGTTTTCAATCATTCTTGCACAGAATTTCAGGAATTGGCATTTAATCCACTTATTGCGGCCTTCGCCAATATTATGATCGAAATTAATCTCATTTATAATGATAAAAAACAATATAATCCTGACAGTTAATATAAATAAAATTCATCTAATTTTTTATATTGAGTTTATTTTAGACAATCTGCAAATCCCGATAATATAATATAGAAAATATTTAAGAATAAAAGACGCGTAAATGTATGTCAAGATAAACACATGTACATATTATGCAGCTATGCTATAGGTATATATAAAATTATAAATACATTTGCCTTCAAAATTTTCGAATTATACAAATCATCGATCAATATCTCATTGGCTAAAAACCATCTTATATCTGTCGTAAGATTGAGCCATTTTCTGGCTTACTAATGAATATCATTTACGATACTTATTTAGGATTTCGGTCACTCCACGATGACACCAAAGACATTCGAGGGGTAGTAGAAGTTTACGATGGAGAAATATATATATTTCATAGAGAAAGGAAGAAGGGGATGGAACGCGTTGTAGTTATAACGAAGAGGTGAGTAATTTAACCCTTCTTAGAGTCGTCTTGTCTTCGCCACACTCTACGTCACCGACCCACCGTGTCGTCTTATCACCTCCCTCCTCACGCTGTAATCTGCGACCCCATCGTTCAACGTTGGTTTATTTAGACCTGACCGAGGTGATCGCTTGATTAAATACTTTTCCTAGCGATTCTGCCTGTAATTGTATATCACGGGCAACAAAAAATTCAAGATACGCATCAAGCTCCTTCAAATATAATATTAATAATTTTAATTGACGCTTAAAATATTGCATAATATTTCGAAATAATTGAATACTTTTTAACAAAGTTTGTGTTCGAGACATTTCTCGAAACACGTTGACCGAAGAACAAAAGCGACAACGGACGTACAATTTATTCGCAAAAATTCAAGAACAAAATAATTCAGCGACACGATGC